TGATAGCATGAATACAATTTTTGTCGGTAGACTGCAGCATTTTAAGCTGTAGTCTACTGAGAACATGTGCAAGATGCAGGAAGACCTCAGTTGTCGAGACCCTTTAGTGGAAAGAAATGGCTGTGGATGTAGAAGACAAAATAAACAGTCACTTTGGCTTTGCACAATTGTCATGATATTGTGGTGCAATATTTTTATTTCCATTGCAGAGATTAGTACATGTTCTGCCTCGTAAAACCAGTATACCGATTTTACAATGTTCCTTATGCGAAAATGCTATCTTCCCTTCTCCTTCTCTCCCCTCGTGCACCCTTCTCCTTTTCTTCTCCCTCTCGCTCCTTCCCCCCTTCCCCACCAACGTTTGTTGGTGCAGAGTTTGCTGGCAACAAATATATGTTGTTGTAAACTGAAAGCTTGTACAGGTCTGTTTCGTCCTTCTGTTCGTTTTGTGCTTTCTTACTGTTACATCTGTTCCAACACGCTCGTCAAAATCTTCTCGACTACTCTTTTTTTTGCATATCTGAGTCTGTCTTCAGTCCCTGTTTACTTACTGCCCTGGTGACATTGAGATAGCATGCTGGCCTATGATGAAACCTGCTCAGGTGGCTTCAGTGTACAGAGTTGCAGCCCAACTGCGAATTATTGTCAGATTTCCCTTATTTCGGGAGGTAGTTGGTTAGACTGTTACGTGCGAATAAACTAAAACTCTGCTGTGAAGGAATTGTTGGGAAATGGAGCCTTGCATGGGGGGGCACATGTCTTGGTCAGAAGAGGCACTGTCCCCAGTGACATACCTTTACACTCTTTTCCCTCCTCTTTGTATGTTTGTAACTTATTATTTAATGTTCATAACCTATATGAAACACACATTGGTTCTTTCTAGGGCTGGGCAATTGGTCGATTAACCTACCACCTAATGCTTTAATCACGATTCATTTTTTTAACCGGTTGATTGGTAAAATTTTGACAGACCAAAAGTAAAAATTAAATGCTTTCACCACGCAGATGTGGATGAGTACACCTATATGAAGGGCATATTTTTACTGACATTTTAACCTAAAGTAAACTGTAAAGACGAGACTTGTAAATACAGACAAGTGCAGAAGTTTACACGTGTCCCGGCCACTTCAATGCCATGCGAGTGTCTGTTTATTGCAGCAGAGACTATTGTGAACAATCAAAGGTGGCCGCTGTTGCCGGAGAATACCAACAAACTTCCTTGCCTCAAGCAGCTGAAGTAATAACCTGCGAGTGTGAGTGTCTCTGAACTGTACAGAACGACATATCGACGATGATTTGTAATTAAAATTGTATATTGCACCGTTTGTCACATATTAAGCAAAGGCAAAAAAAAAATATGTATATATATATATGTAATTTTGAGTTATGAACGAGACTAATTAATTAATTGAATGAAGGGTGTCAATCGGGTTAAAATTTTTCATCGACGCCCAGTCCCACTTTTTTTCTCTTCATGTAATGGCAGTCGCGGAAAATGTTTCAGAAAAACTAGCAGCGTTCACCCCAACCCACAGACAGAACAAGTGGCCACATGATCTAGAGCCAATTACCAGAAGCATACTATTTGGATTCACAATTTTGTTTTCTGCTGCAGATACCGGTCACCTAGATGTAGGCACGCATGTCCACCTTGACAGACTCCCACAGGAGCTGAATGCCCTTGCATCACTTGTGTGGCAGCTTCTCTATGCCCTGCTAGAACCACTTTTACAGCGGAGCTGTTAGGGGCTGGTTTCCCCAGGATCGTGTCCCTCACAAAGAAATGAAGACATTGAACTCTGGACACCTACCACCATCTATGAGCGACGGCGGCAAGCCACCTATCTGGTTGCCGCCGTCGTTCATGGGTGGCGGCAGCCTTTCCACTTTGGCTTGCTGACTTGCGGCCAGCCATTACTTTTCATTGTTCAGCTCCGCTGGTTTTCCTTCTTCACCACATTGGAGAGGCTGAAAGTTTTTTTCTCGTCATTTGTCCACTTTTGCATATTGCAGTCATATCGGTTGTCAGAGTCCTTTACTAAAAAAAAAAAAAAAACAATGACTTTTTTTTTATTTTTTGAGTTTTACATTTACGCTTGGACAGCTGCTTCCCGCGTATTAATGACTGCGAAATGCCACATTTTATGTGGTAAACACTGGGGGCCCGGGCAGGCCATACACGACTCAACATCCGACTGGTTGTTTGACATGCCAAAAATACTGCTGAACCCGATCAGACACCAACAATCACAGGCTCACATGAATGCAGCGGCGTAAACTTTCCATCTTCTTGGGGGGGGGGAGGTGTTTTCCGCTCAAGTGTAAAAGCACCCCCCCCCCCCCCCCCCCCCCCCCCAGAAGCACGCAGGGATTCTATGTTTCATGCATTTTGTCAATAAAGGCAACGTGGGCATTATTTTGTTTACATGCCACTACTAGAAACAGCGTCTCGGTAAGGATCATGGCCCGGGCCCGGGGGGGACGGAGCCCCCCGGATCTCATTAGGGGGGACCGAGCCCCGATGACCCCCGTAGTCTACGCCTATGCGTGAATACACACGATGCAGCGAGTGGGTGGCACCTGATGAGGTTCGACAATCTTTCTGGTATGTCGTAGGACCAGTCAGACATTTGGTCGTGCATGCGTATTTCCTGACTGGTCCCCCAGTGGTTATCATGTTTGGTGCCTCAAATAAATTATTCCTGCAAATTTGCATTTTAAGTTTTCTGGTGCAAGTAAAAGAAGAATTTTTTTTTTTTTTTTTCAAACTTTTACTTTTTCAACTGTAATACCTTGACAGGGTAATACAGAATAAAGAAATAAACAACCATGTTGCTCTCAGTAAGGCTGATTACAGTTGTTGCTAACAGTATAATAGCTACCCTCCCATTTTTTTTTTGTAAGCTCAGTGTAAGCATGCTGGGTTCCAGGGTACAACACAGATGAAAATATTGTCAATGCTTACATAAGTGCACCTTCAAGGCCAGCATCATAGGTAGGTAACTAAAGAGGCAAAATGTGTAGCTTAATCTACCAGTAGCTTTACTTGCTGTGTAATAGAGGTCTTTCATGCATGTGAAAAGAAAACCGAAGTGAAGTGGTTCAAATAGTTCTTCCCGAGGCATCCATCACATCTACATTTGCTTCGGAAAATCAATGCCAAGCATTTTACACTTTCACATTCTCCCATTAAAAAACACAACACACAAAAGAAGAAGAAAAAAAAAAAAAAAAAAGAGGACAAGGGGAACACAAGAGAAGTAACTCTGTATTCACTCTTATTGATGTAGTGCATATATATTTCTGGGATGAGGAGGCAGGGGAATGTCCCCCTGCCACTTCTTCCCAGAAACCGCTGGGATGTTCGTGTAACTGGGCTTCGGTAAAGTGGTCCGTTCTTCCCGAGATCGTACCACTGGTACGCTTAGGCAAGACATTGTTATCGTCGTGAGATATGCAAGGACGACGGAGGGAGAGGCCAAAGCAACGAAAAGCTCTACACTCCGAGGGGTGTGCAAGCGCTCTCGTGCAGTGTAAACGCTGCTCAATACAATATTCTCGTACTTGTGTTTCTCAGCTCGCTCGCAGGCATGGGGAACACATTGCTTTCGGCGCGAGGCCGGCGAGGCTTCCACCTTCAGTGATTTTCTGGCATCGCGTGAGCGTCCAGCGTGATCTTGCATGCTTGTGGCTCAGCGGTTTTCGACGAGCGGGAGGACGCGCTGGGGTCAGTGCTGCTCTGGTGAGCAGCGATAGTTAGGATCGCGAAGGTTATGCAGGCTTGGCTATATTATCAAGATGCATACATGGGCTGACTGATACATTAATTTGTTAAGAACTACATGAAATTCTCTAAATAACCGAATAGTCCCGACAGCTGACTTGCCATAGCGCCGCCATTTGTAAACATGTGTGCGTACTCTTGAACCGGAGTGCGAGGTGGCAGCGATTTTTGGTCCTGGTCATTGATGGCATGGGTTTGCCTTACTAACTTAATAGATAATAATTAAAACAAATTTCAAACAAGTGCAAGTATATAACACAAGCGACCCATTTGTATTTTAAATTAATCTAAAGCCGGATATGACATCAGAGTAACAATATCGTTTTGTTGAAAAACTAATGGGTTTGTAATGAGTTAATAACATATTGACATTAAAATAGTTTATTAGCAATATAGCATGTAAAAGCTTTGCGACCCATGCGTTGTAAAAAACCGGATATGACGTTTTGGGTCGACGCAACGTTTAGCGTTGCGTCGACCGGGTCGACCCAACGCCGCCCTTAGTTAAATTAACGGCGCCGCCATGTTTGGTCAAGTCAGCGAATAAGGGGACGAAAATGGTCTCCGTTGTTCTTAGAGTTTATTGCTCCTGACTGCGAATGGAATATCTATTTAGCTTCAAATTTCGCTCAGATAATAAGAAAACAACGAATGTTTAAATCACGAACTCGCTAACAAGTAGGAGAGCTAGCTTATATAGTGTAAAGAAGCGACTCAAGCTAGAAATAAAATAATTACCTCGCTTCAAAACCACTCTTAAAAAGCTTCAGCTGTTCATTTTAAAATAAAAAAAGTTGATAAATATAAAAGGGTCAAGCCCGTAGTTCACAACTTTACAGATATACAAAACTTAGGCAACAAAAATATCGTAGAAAAATAATATGATCGCGTCCGGTTTCGGTTTCGCTATCATCCGCGCATTCCTTCTCACGTCAAAAATCATGCGCCTCCCGAGCATGTTTAACAAATATTTATAAAATTATTATAAGTAAGCTTAAAATCGATGCTGCTTCTCCTGATAATTAATCAGTGCCACGTCACTATCACCTGCCTATTTAACTTTTTTTTTAGGTTTAAATAATTGTTATTTTTTCAACCTTTCCAAATCGATTGAAATATGTCGCCCGCCTCAGAAAGGCAGGTTGTCCAATCATCTTTCGGACCAGAATAAATAAGAAAAACGGGAACGCCCTTACATTCACCAGAATGACCCAGAAGCAAACACTTGGCCTCCACCCATCGAAGGCCTAGCGGAAGCAGACGAAAAACGCTTTGCATGCGCGTGGGACGTATTAAACGATAATTACGACACGACAGATTTCTTTGAAAGGCTTCGTCCGCAAGTCGTGTTTACGACCAGTATCCCATAGTAACCGCCGGCCGTACCCCAACGTATATATAAAAGAAAAGAAAAGAGGTCCTATCGACCGCAGAGTGCAGCAAACCCAAAACAGGCAAGATGCAGAGTTTCGGAACCAAGTTTAGCCTTTCGCATACATGGGAATTGCGATATGTCCCGCAACTTGTCATAAAGGCTGCAGCGGACCGTTAGAATTCCGGGGACTGATTGACGGCACGGGAGCAGCCATTTTGTTGTGGGTGGCTACACTGAACCGCCGTCGTCTGCCAGACGGGTCGTTCACAATCGGTCGAGCAGACGACAAACATCGGTGCGACAGCAGAAACGGATCAGGACATAGCAAGTTGGCTCGAGTTTGGTGAGAAAGTCGACTTCAGTTTTTAAAGGTAAGTTTCCAGAAATATCTGTAAATTTTGAGAACGATTTGCGTTATCAATGCATAGCCCAGATGTGTCGGTGGGAAACTGCGTGGAACCGGCTTGCCCCTTAAGCTGAAAAGCTTGAATTAAATTATTTAATTATTTTATTATGAAATATTTCCAATTGATGTAACGAACTTAAGTTATATATACAAAAAACTGAGTTACCATTGAACGATTGAGCGACAACTAGACCGGTAAGTGATAACGTGCATCTTTTATGACTTGTGATAAAATAACACGAAAGTTGCCTAAACGGTAACATAAGTGCGTATCGGTTTAGCCCTGATGCAACGGGATAGGCTGAAAACATCAATGGCTCAAGCATACGTTTGCAAACGGTTGAACATGTGCAGTTGTGGCATATGCAAGCATCAGCTCGTTCAACTATGCCCTTGTTTTGCGCACAATCCCAGCTACTAGATTCGAAGAGAACTAAATGTAGGGACGAAAATATGTTTAATGTAAAGGAATGCAATGACACTCTCGCTGCAGATACGTATTTAAGATTGACCGTTGCTTTTATTTCTTCGAAAAGATTGAGAAACAAAACAAAATATCCTGCAGGTCAGAACGCTAGCTTCAGTGTGAAAAATTGTCGTATAACTACCGACCCTTATAATACACGACATTAGGCTTTTACACAATCCATGCAGTTCCCCGTGTAACCCTAAATTCTTATATGACAAAATAAGAAAATGGTGTTTGCGATCCGTTGCCAACCTGTCATCGACGTTAGTTTGGATAGTGGGGCACTGGCGCATGCGCAATAAATGTCGATCGCAGACGCTCGATTTGTGTACGGTGGGGAAAGTCGGTCGTCGCTCAAAATCAATACCGGATCACTACAACGCTCGCGTGGGCTGGATTCAAGAAGCATATGCATAAATGACCGGACGTTTTTTGCGATCGACAGCGTGCGTTATATAGAACAAAGCTCCTCGTGGCACGCCTTTGCCGCCGCTACCATTAGCTGGAATACTCGCTCCATACCCTCCAGTCGCTGTGGAACTGAACTGAATCAAAGGAAGCGTAAAGGCCCGTTCACACTCTTGCGACCGAGTACGACTGAGAGAGACGAGATCTCTTACAACTTCTTAAATGTTTCTGGAATGAGGGAACACACTGACATTGTGGCGCCATCTATGCGGTGACCCTAGAACTGCATTTCACAAAAGCGAAGGTTTTGCGGGATTTCCGAGGTCAAATGTGCGTAATACCCATAGAAAGGCTCGTTTATAACATTGACAAAAGGTTTTCGAGCCAAAAAAGAAAGGATATTGCGCGAGAAATAAAAAAAAATATGCCGGACCGCCGAGTTTACACTGCTTCCCAATAGATGGCGCCAGTGTGTTCTCTGGTTTAAGAAGTTTTAAGGAATTTAGGTTTAAGAGGTCGCAAGCAGTCGCAAGAGTGTGAACGGGCCTTAAGCCCAAAATGAAACGTTAAACGTTAAATTCAATTGAAACAACACGCGGACGGAGTTCTTCAGCGACTATTTCTTTGCATAGTGGCATAGACGACGTCATATCTATCTGCCCTCCATATAATGTTTAAAAACTTTCAGCCTTCCCACTTTGGGGAAAAGGAAGACCAGCGGAGCTGAAGAATGCAAAGTAATGGCCGGCCGTAAATCGGCAAGCCTGAGTGGAAAGGCTGCCGCCATCTATGAGCGACGGCGGCAACCAGATACGTGGTTTGCCGTCGTCGCTCATAGATGGCGGTAGGTGTCAAGAGTTCGGTGTCATCATTTCTTGCTCATCAAACATTTTTATAGCGTGTATCTGGAGACGATTGCAAGCGGGGAGCCTCGACTGGAGCCCCATGCGCGCAAGCACGTGCCGCGAGCGCGGGAACATGGTTTGCCCGCAAGGGCGGAGACATGGAGGTGGCCAGTCGCCATGCTTGCAATCGTATATATATATATACCTTTCTCGCCCGGCGGATACCGTGACCGCGGGCTTCAAAGGCTCCGGTAGTGCGGCACGCGGAACACGGTAACGGTATGATAAATGTCCCCATTATCATCTGCATATTGTAAAACTGAAGATCTACTCCTTTCTATTTGTTTCTTTGTTTCTCCGTTCATTACACAGTGTAGCAAACCAGCACAAGGCGCTGGATGACATCACTGTTTTAATAAACGCCTACTTCTCTCTCTAAAACTGAAGAATCCAAAACCACTTTAGCAGCGTCATTCACAAAGATGCACAACACACACAACAACAACAATAATGATGATAATAATAATAATCAGCCTTTATCATACAATGCTTAGGAACAACCCTGAGGTATTGGTCTTAGTAAACAAATATACATAAAAACAAAAAAAATATATAGAAAGGTAATGCACTTGACACTGTACATCGTTCAGACATTGAGACATTATATGTTCTATGAGAATAAAGCAAAATGAGACTAATTTTAAAGCATAATAAGAACGCAGCCCGGGGGGGGGGGGGGGGGGGGGGTGCTTATGAGGCCTCAGCTTCCCCGAAATCCACCCCCTCTCCCCTTCTTCGCACCCCAAGTCATGGACACCTCAGCCGCCTCAACACCCCCCCCCCCCCCCCCCCCTTCCCCCCCGAAAAAAAAATCCTGGCTACGCCACTGCTAGGCACCATTTGTGTAAAAAGTAAAATAAAAAAAAAAAAAAAAAAAGGAGGCAGTAACAGCCGACAAGGAGCACAGGACAGTAGGACAAACCGAGGCCCCATCAAAATGCACGTTTGAAGTTGATGAAATTCAGACATACCAGAGCCGTTCAATGCTCAACATGCACGGGCAAGTATTTAATAGAAAAAACAAACGTCCTGTAGCGTGTGTGGGAAATATACGTTTGTCAGAGTAGTGGTTGAAATACGCGCAGTCATTCTCACGATTGAGTTAACCGCGCCAAAAGTTCCGAAAACAATACAAGGATGATTGAAACCGAGAAGGCACACATGGAACTCGAAAAGTGCAGTTCAGATAACAGGCTCGGAGAATTGATCAGGCCAATTAACGTTTAAAAAAAAATATATAAAGAAATCCGCGTTCTCCCGACGCCGGTCAGGCTAACAGACCAACACGTTCTAACGCAGCCTCATCTAAACAGTCTTCCCCGAGGCAGCGATGTTTAAAGACAGAAGCAAGCTTTCTTTGCACACGTTCGAATTCCAAGGAGTGAGTTTTAGAGAGTGCGGCCTGGATAACGGACTGTAAAACATGATAAAAGCAGTCGGGTTTTTGAACTCCCTGATAAGCGAGAGGCAACTCCCAAAGCAATGACGAGTTAACCAGATTACCTACTGAACGGGAAAACGCAAGCTAAAAAAAAAAAAAAAAAAATAGACTAAGATCTTTTATTACACCCACTCGAGACAAAGTAAACCCCATGAATATTAATAATATTATAAACAAAAGAGGTATTATGCGATCCTTGAGAGAGTGTCATGATCTTGGTTTTAGACGGGTCCAAAAGAAGGTCGTTGGCAGGGCAGTGGCATCAATAGGGTCAGTGGCACCCGGGGTGGTAGCCCTCCGCGACCCCCCCCCCCCCCCCCCCCCCTCGCTCCCGTGGCCCGCCGCGACACCCCCCTGAGAGCTGCACCCGGAATGGTCCCCCCCCCCCCCCCCCCTCCACCCCTTGTGCAGCATGAGGAATTTAAAATAACATGAGACGGCATTTACGAAAATTATATACAGAACAGGCCCTAAAAGAGATCCCTGAGGAACGCCAGAACTTGCCCTGTACAACAAAGACTTCATACTGTTGATGCGGACTTACGCTTCTTTATTTGACGTAGTTTACATGCATGGTAGAAACGGGGGAAACTTCGATGTATAGATGATATACAATAATTCTCTGAGATAGTCAATAAGACATTCGATAGATTTCGACGCTCGCTACGTCAGCAACGTTACGCGCTTGGCCTGTCCACTTGATGAATTTAGAGGACCGTTCCACATCGTAAACATCTCCTTTATACGAAGCAACGAGTGCGTGGACGCGACGTCGTTACGTCGAGTCACCGGCTAATTGCCACTCTCCTATATCCTCGTTTAACTGACTGCGGCGGGCGCTATCCGAGCCATCCCAGTCAATTCAGCGCCGAGATCGTATACCAGTGCACGGAGTGTCCCTGCTTCCGACCGGAGGATCACGTGACACGCCCTCAGCGCCGGATTGGCTGGTATAATTCGGTGGCGTCCGACGCGGTCCGCCTCGACAATAGCCTTTCGTTCTCTCCAATCGTGGCACTCACGCATCGAGGGCCCAAATCGATGGTGAGAGGTAATGCAGGTCCTCCTCTATAGCCCCAAAGAGGCTACTGCATTGTGGTCCGCTTGAATTAATGATGGCCGGGAAGCTTGGTTGGGGACACGCAGTGTGCCCATCAGCATATTGTGTCACGTTTTCGCCGGTCTTCGTTCCGCCTGTGGAACATTCAATGTGCGTACGGCTTGACGGATGGAAGCACATGCGTGAAAGAGTCACGACACCATTGTGTGAATGTATGTGCGTGTGCGCCTTTTGGATGGTTTTCGTGTTACTTGGGCCTAAAATTACCGGGCTGGAATGTGGTCGGCTGATTGAAGGCGACAACATGAACGTTACTAAATGAGGAAATGCTACCAATGAAAACGAACAAAAAACGCGAAACAGTGTTCACATTTCATTAATCTAATACACGCGGAGTTTGAAAGTAATTTAAAGACGGTAGTGCGACGTTCGAATGAAGCGCATTTTGCGGTAAGAAAATGTTGTCTTCCAGTCCGATCTGCTATGTTCTTCGTAAACGGTAAGCCCGTATACCGTCACGGAAGTCAGCAGTGCTTGATTTTTACGCTTACTTCGCTGCCTGTGAATGACGTCACAAAATGAACCTCGGTAAGGCACAAAATCTCATTTTCATGCGCGATTTCCGGACGTCTCCTTTAATACCATCAAGCGCCCTAGGCAAACTCCGGTCGTGGCGCCCCCCCCCCCCCCCCCAACCCCCCCCCCCTTTTTCTTTTATTCGCGACTCTAGCAAATCGACGCCGCCTAGCGGCAGTGCCCAGAAGCTCAGGAAAGAAGGTAGTTTCGACTTTGTCGTCTGCTATCGCTGCTTGGTTCTCGTAGGCAGCATAGAAACAGAAATTGTTTGCAGTAATTTTTTTTTTTATGATTCCACCGTGTCATTCCTACGCACTGACTATAGTTTCAACAGTCGGAAAATTGCATTGCTTTCATATGTAACACGGATTTTACGCTGCAGTGCAGGAATTTGTGATGGTCCGCGTGCTGAACGACGAAAACGACCTCCTTTCGCCCGCCATTTTGCCTGAGCAGCGCGTCCTCTGTAGTTCGCTGGAGTCGCGAATACGCTTCTATCAACTAGGTACTACGTCACGTTGGTAGTAAACATCAGAGTAGTTGCCCAACAGGAGCGTTTTGTCAGCCGAGAGTCGCATATTCCAAAAAAGAACGGCCACCGAGCATATAGCACCGTTTCGAGCGCTGTGCTTAAATAAATGAAGATCCTAAGAAAATGTATGGCAGACTGCTAGGCAATTCTGTTGCATGCATACGCGAAGCGTTGTATAGCAACAGAAACGCTAAGCGATATACTCTGAGTTTTCACACGCCAGACGCTTACGTTCCCGGCGCTCTTCATCAGGTAGTTTAACGCGAACCAAGTGTACACTTGATAGTTGTTCCTAGAATGAAGCGATACTACCGCTAATCGAGCTGATAAATATAGCGATCTTCCAGAGCCTTTCATACTCTCAAGCTCCTTTTTCTTTGTACGCACAGGCGTTCGTGCTCCTCTTCGCCTACCTCACTCCTCCTCGCCGACCCCTCCGGTCACATGACCTCCCCGTTAACCAATCACCGTCGAGCATCTCATTCCTCCTCTCCCACCCGTCAACCAATAAGTGTCGAGCCTCGCGGCCACGATTTTATGTGGGCTTCACGAAATGTCGAACACCTAGCTAAAGAATGTTTCACGTTAATACTTAATAGCCCCTCAACTCACGGCGATGTGTCGCTTTTTTTTTGTTTTTGTTTTAGTTGTACGGATCAACGCTTCCAGTAAAATGGTGGCTCCAAGAGGGTGTCCTTTTTAGAGAGCAGCTCTTAGGCGCCCGTTTCCGGCTTGAGCGGCGTCGCCGTCGGCTTCGCAGTCGGCGTAGCCGCGCGTTGCATTTTGGGACGTTCTCAATGACGTCAGACGTGACTTCACGAGGGTCACGAGTGAAGTCACGGGTGACGTCACCCTCGTGACGTAACACGGCGCCTAAATTTAGCGGGAATATTTCCCCGCTAAATTTACCGACAAAAATTTCCCCACTAAATTTAGCGAAAACAATTCCCCGCTAAATTTAGCAGAAAATTTCCCCACTAAATTTAGCGGAAAGTTTCTCCACTAAACTTAGCGGAAAAATTTCCGCACTAAATTTAGCGGAAAAACTGCCCCACTAATTTTCGCGGAAAAATTTCCTCAGAAAAACCCTTCAGTGATACCCCACAGAAAAACCCTTCAGCCCCCACAGCCCTTCAACCCGTCAAACGCTTCAGCCCAAACTCCTTAGCCCATCAACCCTTTAGACACCCAAATGACTGTGAACCATAGACAAAAATGCAGTTCAAAACGTTATTGGAAATTTATTTCAGGCATTTCGTTTTACATATGGTAACTCAAAACGACTATCAAAACCAACGTTTGTTCAAACCCGGGCGCAAGCAGCTGTAGACGAAAGCGATCACATCAAATAGGGACAACTGAGTTCTTTATCACAAAAAAAAAAAAAAAAAAAAATCCCTTCAATGCACTTACAATGCCGATGCGTAAATTCCTGATATACGGTAGTTCAGCTATTAAAACCGAGCAGGTACACCTTACGGACACATACACACTTTCAGTAAGCACGTTTAACGAAAACCACGAACTCGCAAGCAGCACCTGCGCATGCCATTGTTGAGAAATCCTGAGCACAGTCACGGTGTCGTCCCTGATGCCGTCGCGGCGGCGTCTTCGACGTCTTTTTCGCTCGATAGATGCTTCTGAAGCTGGAAAGGTTGATGGATTGGTTTACTGATGATTAGCTCCATCTCTATTGTCACTCTCAGTAGCAGTGCATTTATAATTATCAAATGTATAACGTCTGTGTACGTATCTTTGTGCATTTAATTGTACCCCCTCCTACAATAACCCGAAATGGTTGGCAGTATTTGAAATAAAAAGGAAAAAAAAAGGTGTATGGTGAGGTTTTAATCTCAGTACTCTTTCTCTCCCCCTCTCTGTCCAATGGCCAGGAGCCTCAGCGAGCGACCTCGGAAGCGCACGGGGCCCTCTGGTCGACGTCCAGGATGCACCGGCCGGTGTCTGCGCAGACCCGAAACGAGAACGTGATGAAGCTGGCTGCGGGTCGGCAGCTCCACACCACCGAGGATCCCGTGGAGAAGCTGAGGCTGCTCTGCCTGCAGCGGGGCTCCGCAGGCATCCTAGGCCTCGGCAGGTGAGGGACACGGCGAGACGACAAAAGGGGGGCCAGAGTTACTCCTTTGCAGCACCCCCTAGACTCGCTTTGTTTTACGGAGTTCCCTAAATCTGGAAAAGGAGTAACCTCACACTCAGAATTTGTTTACACCCATACTGGTGTCTTTTGTTTGGTTTGTCCCAGGCGTAGCACCCGCACGTGCATGTTTCACGTCTGCAGACAGTTTTTGTGTGACCAATGTCACACATTGGTCGCACATTGAGGGTGATCTAGCAGCAGCTTGGTTTCCGCCTATGCCACAAAAGAAAAATGTTCGTTTGGTGCAACAGCGCTGCATGGGTGTAGCGATGGATTAGTCGTCGTAGCGCCCTTTTCACACCCAAAAGGGTGTAGACATTTTTAGAGTGTTGACTCTTTTTTTCCTGAAAGGTCATGACAGGTCAGAGTGAACACGAGTTAATTTCGAAGTGAAGCGGCTTTTTACAGAGTGTAATAGACAACCGACGCAGCAAAGAGAGTAAAATGCGAATATTTTCCACGCTTTCTTGTTTCCTGCCTTTGCTCTGAACGGCTCAGGGTCTTCCGGCGCATGGACGACAACGGGAGCGGCGACTTGTCGCGCGAGGAGTTCGTCAAGGGCCTCGACGACTCTGGAATGTCGCCCTTCCTGGAAGGAGAGGACTACGACAAGCTCTTCGACCGCTTCGACGCTGAACGGCTCGGGGACCATCAAGTTCGACGAATTCATGCGCGCCATCAGGGTAACGAATACCGTTTCCGAAAAACAATGGTCCCGAATCATTTGACTATGTTCGCGGTGGTATGTCTTGTGTTCCAAGTAAGTTGACCATGTTAAACAAGTCGCGAAGTCTGTTCCCTTCCGGCTTTGGATGTTCTTGAGGTAAAATTAAAAGTAATAAAAGCCCTGTTTGAACATAAAAAAATTACGTTATCTAAACTTACAACTTTTACAACAAAAATCTAGCGCCTATTTTATTGTCTAAATATCAACCACGTGCGGGTCACACCACAGGGACAGCAAGCTTTTGCTCGAAATTACACCAACATATTATTTTAAAAGGAATAAACCGAATGTCGCTACGTCACTCTGAACTTATAATCAGCGCCGCTCGGCGGAAGTACACTCTAAAAAAAAAGGGTGTCATGGGGTACACCCATAGGGGGTGTAAGTGCTTGTCACATATACTACACCCTTTGGGGGAATACAAGTGCACCCCAAATATGGGAGTACGTGTACACCCGTTGGTGTGGTGCACAATGTACACCTTTTTCTACAGAAATCTCACTCGAAGGAACACAGGTGCACCCCATTTGATGGTGTACGGCTACACCTCTTTCTACACCCGCTTCACTCAAAGGGAACACAGATGCACCCCATTCGATGGTGTACCATTGCACCTCTTCATACACCCGCTTCACTCAAAGGGAACACAGACGCTCCCCGCTCAATAGTGTACCATTACTCCCCTTTCTACACCTACTGCTCTCAAAGGGAGCGCAGGAGCACCCCGTTCAATAGTGCACTGTTACACCTCTTTCTACACTCGCTGAATTCGAAGAGAACACAGATGCACCCGATTCAAAGGTGCATGGTTACACCACTTTATGCACCCGCTTCATAACTTCATAAACCTATTTAAGACATCAAGGAAAACAGTAAAAAATGTATGCGCTCCGGTGATTGCAAAAAGGCAGGTAAACGGACACACGGTATTGTTTTCAAATCAAATCTCATAGAAGTTTATTAGACAGCCTATTCCGTAAACAAGTACAAACTTGCAAGCAATCCGTGATATCTGAAGACGTACAAAGAAGCTTTTACACAACTGAAAAGATTACTAAGCAAACAAGAACGGGGGGTGAGTCTTAGGTAGTGTCCATTCTGCCAGCAGCCCGTAGAATTATTTCCACAAATATCCCCCGGCAGTCGCCGTTTAATTCATCGAACGACCTTTCACCGACAGCTCAGATTAGCTTTTCTATTTTAGCTTCTCTCTTTTTTTTTTTTTTTTTTTTGTAATGAGCCGCCCCAGAATGTATCCGCGAAGTGGAAGTGTATGGGGACAGGTGGGCTAAACTTTCTGCAATTAGCCGCCGCAGACTGTCGCCACGAAGCGGCGCGAACGGGTCGGCTGGGTCGGTGAGCACGCGCCTCATAGACACACGCGCGACAAAATGTCCCTACAGCGTGCATTTTGCGTAACGAGTGACGTTTGAGAAACGTTAGCGTCGATGAAACGTGTCTACAAAACGTGCATCGACAAAAACGTGTTTTCACAAAACGCCAGGAGAATAAGAAAGTCAGTATTCCACCTGCAGTTGTCACATGATTGTATACAGCTAATGGCAGGCGACTGCCGATAGAATTTCGGGGAAATTATTCTCCCCGCTGCTAGAAAATAGACACTGCCTAATTCTAGAGGTAATCCGGAACGGAACGGTCAGTTGTTGCAAAGGAGTAGGTTGCAGTGCACTTACGATGAAAATACCGGACTTGAAATATGTAATCCAATATATATGTCGACACGGGCACTGCAGAACCACACAAACACAAAAACAAAAAGAAAGGGGTCCGTGAAGATTCAACACGATGTGGCCGAAGCAGTAATTTGCCGAACCGAACACTTAACACATCACATAACTTCCTTGGGCTTTTTTTGAAGATATCCCCTGTTGCCGATACACGCGTAGGACTTTTCAAACACTGGAAATCTTGGTACACTCGAATACGTTGTCGCGGGCGAAATCTACGGCAGCCCCGCTGGTCGCAACACAGCACACAAGCAACTAGGCCGGGAAGCAGACATTCCGAGGTCGAAAAAAAGCTACTACGTCATCCGTGAAATCTTTACCACGTGATCACGCTCCTGCCGTATCCGCGCTCAGACAGAGGAGTCGAGGGATAAAAAAAGCCTTCGGTTCATTGGTCCGGCCACTGCGCGCCTTCTTCTATGCTTTCAGCTTAGGGAGAGAAAGAAAAAGAAATGAGTATGAAAATTGCAGCTCCTTCAAGGCCAAAAGGGGCCACCCTCGCAAAGGCTTATCTTCAGGGGCAACCCAACAATGAAAGGATTTGTCGCTTATATCCTCTTGAAAGTTCGACCCAAAGTTAATAGTGCAGTGGATGCTATCCGTGGCCTTGGCCTTCAGGCTGGTGCCGTGCTCTGCCTTATCTCTAGCTTGGAGACTGTAGTCACGTGATCCTACCCGGAGACCCGATTGGCCTAAAACAAGCATAGCGTCCACTCTACTGTCAATACCGAGGGAACACGATAGCTCCATACTTCCTAAGAAACTGCCCATCCCAAAGAGTGACCCAGGCGAGGGTTCAAGTGGAAGCTGTAAACGCTTAACACCAAGCTTCTCGATGATGAGTCCTTTCTTGCGGGTATAAACAAACTTTTCAAAACGTATTCTGAAAGTACGGGAGGGGATATTTTCGAGAAGTGAGAGATCGTAAAGCAAGAAGTTAAGATGCTTGCGATAGAGAGGTCATCTGTTTTGACCTACGAGGCGCGTTGTGCCGAACGCATTTTAAAACGCTGGCTTGCAGGCGCTCTCCCCACCCCTGCCCTTTTCAATGTGGATGAGGGTCGCACAGGCGTGCGGTCGTGTATCACTACTGCGTGAACACGTTAAAGGCTAGCAGTTGTACTGACTGGCAAAATTTCTCATCTACAGCTGGAAGACTTGTCGCCCGTTGAGGCAGATCAAGTTATAGTCTCTATAAACATTCACACAACCATATTTTTTGCAGGCGCTCTCAAGAGCGGAGTGTGTAGCTCCCAGCACGTGTTTGACAGATATAGATAGCGTGAAAGAACGGCATAAAACAGCTTCATCAAGAGCGTTATCGCGGATCCGTGGTCCGAACACGTGCAGAAAAGTACCTCGTGGGCGAGCAGCCAGCGAAACGGGCTTTAGCGGATGAAAAGCGATACGCGCCTCAGAAATAAATTGCTGAAATAGATGTCAACGGCGTTACGAGCACGAGCCCAAGTAGCATACAACAGGCGTTTGTTGCACACTATAGGCAACTATTTTAATTGAAAAATCAAGAAAGAAATGTCCCAGCGTGTGGGGAGCTTCTCGAGTCACTGGCGCGGTTAACAGAAGAGGAGGCGAAAAGTCTTTCTCAGCCAAGAACCATGCAATTGATCGTGAAGGCAATAGGCGACCTCCCAGAGGTGAAAATGCCGGGGGCCGATGGGCTATCCGCCGACTTTTTTAAAAAGTATACGAACGTACTCGCCAGCGTGTTGCTTAATGTATTCTGTAAAGCATATCAACGAAAAGAATTGCCTCCGTCCTTTACGCGAACGTATACTGTGGTTATTTCTAAGAGTGACGATGTTGTGAAACTGCGCCAAGTCACGGCCGGGCTAACGCCCCATCACTCTCTGTAATGTGGATTACAAAGTTTTTGCAAAATTTTAGAGCGACGCTTTTAAAGTGTAGCCTGTAGGCTTATTGGTAACCACCAAACGTGTGGGATTCAAAGCAGAACTTTAAGACGAACGTCCATGTCGCACGCAGCGTGCTAGAAGTGTGTAGTGGAGGCAGGAGCCAGGTGGCCATGCTCCAAATCGATCTGGATAAGGCGTTAAACCGCGTCAATGCGCTGTACTCTTTGATGTTTTAAAGATGTAAATGTTGGTGATATTACTTTTGATGGTGCCAAAATGGCATATAAAAGCTGTAC